GTGATATCTAAGAAACCATTGCCTTAATCAAGGTCATGAAGATTTACCCCTGTTTTCTTCTAAGAACTTTACAGTTGTAGTTGTAATTCATTCAAATTATTTTTTATACAAGGTGTGAGGTAAGGGCTCAACTTCATTCTTTTGTGTGTGGCTATCCAGCGATTCCATAATCATTTTTTGGAAAGATTATTCTTTTCCCCCATTGCATTGTCTTGGCATTCTTTGAGAAATCAATTGACCATAGATGTATGGACTTACTTTTGGACTCTCAATTCCATTCCATTGACTTATATGTCTATCTTAATGACAGTACCACAGAGTCTTAATTACTGTAAGTTTTTATTAAGCTTTGAAATCATCAACAGTGAGTCTTCCAGCTTTGTTTTTATTCATGATTGAAAAAAGGTCCCTATTCAGGGTCCCTTGTGATTCCATATAAATTTTAGGATCAGCTTGTCACTTCAAGAAAAAAGTCAGCTGGGACTTTGATAGAGTACATTGAATCTCTGCATTACCTGGGAGATACTGTATTTTAACAATACTAAACCTTCCAACCCACAAACACGAGCTCTCTTACCACTTATATAGGTCTTATTTAAGTTTTTTCAATGATGATGTATTATAGCTTTCAGTGTACAAGTCTTGTACTTCTTTAGTTTATTCCTAAGCATTTTATTCCTTTTAGTGCTACTGTAAATAAAATTATTACCTTAATTCTCTTTTTAAATTGTTAATTGCTAATGTATAGAAATATAACTTTTTGTGTTGATCTTATATCTTACAACTATGCTGAATGCATTTGTTAGCTCTAATAGTTTTTAGTGGATTTCTTAGGATATTCTATATGTAAAGTCATGTCATCTACAAATAGAAATAGTTTTACTTCTTTATTTTCAATCTTTATGTCTTTTATCTCTTTTATTTGCTTAATTGATCAGGATAGATATCCCAGCTCAATATTTAATAGAGATGATGACAGTGGACATCTTTTTCTTATTTCTAATCCAAGGGGAAAATTTCAGGCTTTCACCCTTAAGTATGATGTTAGTTATGTTTTTTTTTTTTTCATAGATGCCCTTTACCTGGTTGAGGAATTTTCCTTCTATTCCTAGGTGTTGAGTGTTTTTATCATGAAGGGTTGTTTAATATTGTCAAATGATTTTGATGCATCAAAATAATCATGTGGTTATTTTTCTTCATTCTATTAATTGTGTCACACTGGTTGATTTTAACATGTTGAATGAACCTCATATTCTGTTATAAATCCCACTTATTTTTGGTGTATAATGCACTTTTTAATTTGCTTTGCTAGTATTTTGCTGAGCATTTTTTTTTTTTTTTTTGCATTGACACTCATATAAGATACAGATCTGGAGTTTTCTCATGGTATCTTTGGTTTTAGTTTCAGCATGTTACTGGCTTAAAAGAATGACTTGAGAAGTGTTCCTTCGTCTTCAATTGTTTGGAAGAGTTTGAGCAGGATTGGTGTTCATTCTTTAAATGTTTGGCAGAATTCACCGGTGAAGTTATCTGGTCCTCTGCTTTTTGTATGTTGCTTAATTGGATTTGCTAGTGGTTCATTGTTGTTTTTTTTTTAAAGATTTTGCTTCCATATTCATAAAGAATATTGGTCTGTAGTTTTCTTTTCTTATGACTCCTGGCTTTGGTATCAAGGTTTGGTATCTATGAAGTATTAGCCTCATTGAATGAGTTGGGATATTTTGTCTCCTCTTCCATTTTCGGGAAAATTTTGTACATGATTGTGTTAGTTCCTCTTTAAACATTTGCTAGAATTCATCAGTTATCTGTGACTAGGCTTTTATTTGTGGGAAATTTTCAAATTAATTATTCAATCTCTTTATTTGTTATATGTATTCAATTTTTCCATTTCTTCTTGTTGACTTTGGTAGTTTGTGTCCTTCTAGAGATCTGCCTATCCCATCTAGTATGTCTAATTTATCTATAGACAGTTGTTTATAATATTCTTTTATAGTCATTTTCATTTCTGTAATGTAGTAATGTTCCTTGTTTTATACCAATCTTAATAATTTGAGTCTTCTCTCTCTCTCTCTTTCTGTCTTGGTCTGTCTAGCTAAAAGTTTGTCAATTTTGTTAATGTTTTTCAAAGAAACAACTTTTGATTTAAATTTTTTCTATTGTTTTTCCATTCTCGACTTGATGGGTTTCCACTCTAATCTTTATTATTTCCTTCCTTCTGCTTGATTTTGATTTAGTTTGTTCTTTGTGTAGTCTTTTATTTTAAAGTAATGTCTAAGTAATGTGAGGCTTGAACTCATGACCCAGAGATCAAGAGTCACATGCTTTGCCAACTGCGCCAGCCAGACACCCCTTTGTGTAGTGTAGTAGGTTAGGTATTGATTTGAGATTTTTTGTTTTTTTTTTTTAATTTTTTTAATTAAAAAAAAATTTCTATTTATGAGACAGAGAGAGAGACAGCGTGAGCAGGGGAGGGTCAGAGAGAGAGGGAGACACAGAATCTGAAGCAGGTTCCAGGCTCTGAGCTAGTTGTCAGCACAGACCCTGATAAAGGGCTCGAACCCACGAACCATGGGATCATGTCCTGAGCCAAAGTCGGACGCTCAATCGACTGAGCCACCCAGGTGCCCCTTGGGTTTTTAAATATAGACATTTATAGCAATAAATATTTCTCTAATCACTGCTTTAGACATACCCCATAAGTTATGAAGTGTTTTGGTTTTGTTTTCATTCATTTTGAAGTATTTTCCAATTTACTTTATTATGTCTTCACTTAACCATTGGTTATTTAAGGATGTGTTATTTAATTCCACACATTTGTGAATTTCCCAAATTTCCTGCTGCTAATTTCATTCTGATGTGGTCAGAGAACAGACTTTGTATGACTTCAGTCCTTTAAAATTTATCAAGGCTTTTTTATAGGTTAACATATGGTTTATCCTGGATAATGTTCCATGTGCTCTTTAGAACAATGTGTATTATGCTGGGTGGAGTATTCTATAGAAGTTTATGAGATGTAGTTGATTTATAGTGTAGTTCAAGTCTTCTATTTTCCTGTTGATTTTCTGCCTAGTTGTTCTATCCACTATTGAAATTAGGGTATTCAAATGTCCAAATATTATTGTTGGATTATCTATTCATCAATTCTGTCAGATTTTGCTTCGTATATTTTGGCACTCTGATGGGATATGTATGTATGTATGTATATAGATCCTTTTATTCTTATAAAATGTCTTTGTCTCTGGTAACAACTTTCATCTTACAAATCTATTTTGTTTGATATTATTATAGCCAGTCCATCTCTCTTTTTGTTACTCTTTGCATGGTTTCTTTTTTCTACCCATGACTTTCAATCTATTTGTGTCTTTGAATCTAAAGTGAATCTCTTGTGGACAGCACATAGATAATTTTCTTATACCCATTCTGCCGATCTCTTCCTTTTGGTTGTATTGTTTAATGCATTCACATTTAATGTAATTACTGATAGCGTAGGATTTGTGACTGCTCTGTTGCTCCTTGTTTTTTATGTCTTATGTCTTTTTTGCTCCTATATTTATTCATACCTCACTTCTTTTGTGTTAAATAGCATTTTCATTCCCTTGTCATTTTTAAAATCCTATTTATTTGGAGTTATTGTTTGTGTGTGGATTACAATGAACATCTTAAGTTATAACAATGTAGTTCAGATAACTGGCAACTCAATTTCAATAGTATATAAAAAGTTTGCTCTTATATAACTCCATTATCTGTCCCTCTTTGTGCTTTTATTGTAATACAAATTACATCTTTATACATTGCATGCCCATCAACACAGATTTATAATTATTGCTTTATGCAACTGCCCTTTAAATTAGAATAAAGTGTTTCAAACAACTATATATATATATACACACACACATACTGTTTCTTTTATTTACCTATATAATTACCCATACTAGTATTCTTTAGTTTTTTTATGTGGATTTGAGTTACTGTCTAGTGTCCTTTCACTGCAACTGGAAGTATTCCTTTTAGTATTTCTTATATGACGGTCTGCTAATGATGGATTCTCTCAGTGATTGTTGATCTGGTGATGTGTTACTTTCTCATTCACTTTTGAAGGGTAATTAGGGGTACCTGGGTGGCTCAGTCTGTTAAATGTCTGACTCCTGATTTCGGCTCAGGTAATGATCTCATGGTTCGTGGGTTCAAGCCCCACATTGGGCTCTGTGCTAACAGCTCAGGGTCTACTTGGGATTTTCTTTCTTCCTCTCTCTCTGCCCCTCTCCTGCTCATTCTCTCTCTCTCTCTCTCTCTCTCAAAATCAATAAAGTTAAAAATAAAAAGATATTTTCATTTTTGAAGGGTAGTTCTACCAGAATAGGATGCTTTGTTGACAGGGTTATTTTCTTCTGGCACTTAGAATATATTATCCCAATAATTATGGCCTCCTTTCTGATGAGAAATTGTCTAGTAATATAAAGAATCCCTTGTACATGATGAGTTACTTCTGCCTTGCTGCTTTCAAGATTCTCTCTGTGTTTTTGACTTTTGACAGTTTGATTCTAACGTATGTTGGAGAGATTCTTTTTGAGTTGTTTCTATTTGGAGTTCCTTGACTTCTTTGCATGTGCAAATTAATGTTTATATCAAATTTTGGTAGCCTTTGGTTATCATTTCTTCAGATGTTCTTTCTTCCCTTTTGTCACCCCTTTTTCCTTCTGGGATTCCTGTTATCATGTATATTGGTTCACTTAACCATCCTCCATTGTTCTCAGATGGTTCTGTTCATTTTTTCTTCCTTCTTTTTTCTTTGTTTTCCTCAGATTGGATCATCTCATTAAACCAATCATCATGTATGCTGATTCTTCCTTCAGATGTATTGTTGGGCCCCACTAGTGAATTTTTCATATTAGTCTGTATTTTTTACCTCCAGAATTTCTTATCTGTTCTTTTTTTTTTTTTTTTTTTGGAAATTGTTTCCTTTTTTTCATCTTTTTCTAGTTTTTATTTAAATTCTGGTTAAAAATATGGAATACTTCAAGAATTTACATATCATCGTTGCACAGGGACCATGCTAATCTTCTCTGTATTGTTCCAATCTTAATATATGTGCTACCAGAGCATGCACCCTTATTGGTTCTTTTAAAATAATTTCTATCTCTGTATTAACATTCACTATTTAGTGAGGCATAATTTTTGTATTCTCATGATTTCCTTTACTTTTAAGAAAACTGAAATTGCTGATATAATGTGATTGTATATATAATCTGATATAATGTGTTAACTACAAAGTCAAGACTTCCTCAGGCTCTGTTTCTGTTGACTACTTTTCCTATACATGGGCCATACTGTCTTGCTTCTTTGAATGTCTCATAAATTTTTCTTGAAAGTTGGAAATTTAGGGGCACCTGGATGGCTCAGTCAGTTAAACATCTGACTCCTGATTTCAGCTTAGGTCATGATCTCACGGTCAATAGATCCAGCCCCATGTCCGGCTCCATGCTGATTCTGGAGCCTGCCTGGGATTCTCTCTCTCCCTCTGCCCCTCTCCCGCTCATGCATGTGTGCCCTCTTTCACACACTCTCTCTCAAAATAAATAAACATTAAAACAATAAAATTGGAATTTTAAAATAATAATGTGAGGGCTTTGCATATCAAATGCCCCCCTTTAAAGGATTTGTTGTTATTGCTTGTTTGTGTCATGATGTTTCTGTACTAATTCTGTAAAACTTTGTATTCTTTGGCATGTGTGGCTACCGAGGTCTCTGCCCACTTAGATTAGTGTCCAGATAATTACTTTCCGGAGATTTCTTTAAATGCTTGGAGCCAGTAAATCTCCCCAGTCATTGCTGAGTGACTCTATGAGCTCACTTCAACATTCAGCAAGGCAGTTTACAACCCTCTTTTAGCCTTCTCCTCCTGCTTGTATAGAATCCTACAGGTTAGGCAGTGGTGAGAACTTTTCAGTCTTCTCAGATCTCTCATGAGCATGTGCCCAGCCGTGGGCATGCTCACATCACTACACCTATTCTTTTCCCTCTAGGTTCACAAAAACATTTCAGAGCTTTTCAGAGCCTCCTATGGACATTACATCTTTGGGATTTTCTTTTTAAGGTTTTTAGTAAGCTTATGATTTATTTCAACTGTTGTCCACAGTCTGAGGCAGTTGCAATATTAAACAACTAATAGTGATTGGTTTTACCAAATGCTCCCGGGGAAAAATTTGTTGGCACTGGCACACCTCTGTGTTAGGTTGAACACAAACAAGTTTTGGGGAGTGTTTTCATCCTGGGAACCACCAAACCGGTCAATAATGGCAGTCATTTGGGAATGAGTCCTTGAAGGAGCTCCTGCCCTTTTCTGCCTGCCCCAATGGCTGGTTGGTTTTCACAATGACTGAGGGCTATTAGTATTCCAGGCTACCACATAACTGGCCATGAGGAGATGGCAATAGAGCACGTTAAGACACCACAAAGGTCATTGTTCTTACCAAGATTCCGCTGGGTTTTGTTTGTGTGTTTGTTCTTGAGGAAACCATTCCTGCATTGCTGCAAGTCTTTGGTTAATTTCCAGAGTTCTAAAAAAGTTGATCCTGACCATTTTTGTCAGTCTGCTCCCTTGGTCCCATAGGGGAAAGAATTTTCAGAGGTCTTTATATCCCCACTGAGGTCCTCAAGTATCCATCCATTAAAGACGTTATTTCAATAATAAGACAAATAGTTCATAAATTTACTCATACAGTTTCCATTTTCAGTCACTTCATTCTTTTGTGTATATCTATATTTCCATCTTGTTTAAGTATCCATGCATACGACACTTCCTTTCTTGAAAGAGCAGTCTGCTGGTGCTGAATTCATTCAGCTGTTATATATTTGAAGAAAAAAAAATCTCTATTTCGCCACTGATTTTGAAAGCTCTTTTCACTGGGTATAGAATTCTAGGTAGACTTTTTTTTTTTTTAAAGTTCTATCAGAACTTTAAAGAGGTTGATCTAATGTCTTCTCACTTGCACAGTATTTTTTAATTTTAATGTTTGTTTATTTTTGAGGGATAGAGAGACAGAGTGTGAGCAGGGGAGGGGCAGAGAGAGAGAGAGGGAGACACAGAATCCAAAGCAGGTTCCAGTCTCTGAGCTGTTGGCACAGAGCCTGACGTGGGGCTAGAGCCCATGAACTGCTAGATCATGACCTGAGCCGAAGTCAGATGCTTAACTGACTGAGCCACCCAGGAACTCCTAACTTGGACAATTCCTAATGAGAAAGCTGCTGACATCTTTATCTTTGTTCCTCTGCCCATAATGTGATCACGATGTGTTTTGGTGTAGTTTCTTCATATTTCTTGTGTTTTGCATTTATAAAGCCTCTTTGACCTGTGCATTTACAGTTTTCATCAAATTTGGAAAATTTTTGCCCCTTCTTACTTAAAATAATTTTTCTGATCTTCCACCTCTCCTGCATGGACTTTACTCACATATACTAGCACACTTGAAATTGTCCCACAGTTCACCAATGCGCTGTTATTTTTTAAAGTTTATTTGAAAAAGAGAGAAAAAGCAAGAGAGAGAAAGTGCAAGCAGGGTAGGGGCAGAGAGAGGGAGAGAGAGAATCCCAAGCAGGATTTGCACTGTCAGTGCAGAGCCTGACGTGAAGCTCAGTCTCAAAAACCATGAGATCATGACCTGAGCCAAAATCAAGGGTTGGACACTTAATTGGCTGAACCACCCAGGCACCGCTATCCTGTCAATTTTTGTTGTTTCTCTTTTTTCTTTGTGTTATGTTGAATTGACTTGATCTCTATGACTTCAAGTTGAACAATCTTTTATCCTACAATATCTTACTTGCCATTCATGTCGTCTATTATATTTTTATCTCCAAAATTGTAGTTTGCATATATAGCAGTTCCATTTATGCCAATCATACATCTTTCCTTTCTCTAATTAACTTTTTAATATATGTTATAATAACTGTCTAATAGCCATGTCTACTAATTCAATCATCTGTGTTAGTTTTTGGATAGGTTTCCATTGTTTACTCTTCATTATGGGTCATATTTCTCTGTTATTGGTCTTGGTTTTTTTTGCATACCTGCTAATTTTTTATTTGGTGTGACACATTGTGATTTTGTCCTGTTGAATGTTGGGTATTTTGTAATTTTATTCTTTGAGGGTTTTTTTAAAAAACACTTAAATTATTTGAAAGCTGTTCATTTCAGATCCTTTTCATAAGCTTTTTAAAAAAAACATGTTATTTATTATTGAGAGACAGAGAGAGACAGAACATGATCAGGGAGGGGCAGAGAAGGGGAGGCACAGAATCTGAAGCAGGGTCCAGGCTCTGAGCTGTCAGCATAGAGCCCAATGTGGGGCTCGAACTCACAAACCACGAGATCATGACCTGAGTCAAAGCTGGACACCTAACCGACTGGGCCACCCAGGCACCCCTTGTGAGATTTCTTAGGTAAGTCAGGAGTACTGTTCAGTCTAGGATTAGCTTTCCCCGAAACTGAGGCAAGACCCTTCTGAGTATTCTATCCAATACCCCATAAACCTTGAGGTTTTCCATTCTGGCTGATACTTCTGAGCCTGTGTGAGTACCAAACACTGTTACCTCTAATCCTTTCAGGTTGTTCTTTCTATGGCCTCAGATAATTTCCTCACATGCCTGGTGTGATCCGTATCCTTCTGAATACTCAAGGACAACCATCTACACATCTCTGGAGTTCTCGGTGAAGCTCCTTCCTCTAGGGGACTGTCTGTCATGAATTCTAGCCATCTTGAACTCCTTGTGCTTAGAGGTCCATCTGTTTAATTCAAGGGGTTAGTTTGGATGTCTCAACCCTGCACCATGGCCTGAAATTGCTCTCAAGGTAGTAAGACAAGGCAATTGTAGGGCTTACCAAGTTTGTTCTCACCTCATAGGGATCACCAACTTTTATTAGTTGGTGTTCGGTGGCTTGAAAACCCTTCTTTCATATTTTGAAGGGCTTTTATTTTGTGTTTGTTCAGATGGGAAAGTAAATCTGGTCTGTCTTGACCAGAAGTGGAAGTCTTATCTCTCATTACTTACTGTGATTTGGTGCCAGCACAGGGTAATTATTCATTACAAGACTACGTCAAAATCATCCTAGAGGATTTTGTTAACTATGTGGTACATAGGGATTTAAGTGTAGAGTCATCGGGTATGTCTTTTGTAATATGACTATTTGTATTAGGGTAGGCTGGTCTTTTGTCTCAGTTGGGATTTAGCAATTGGAGTTTTGGATAAGATTTTTTTCTCATTAATTCTGGCAAGATAAAGTTTTACTTTATCGTAAAGAGGGAAAGTAGGAAACGGGTTTAAGTTTCTGAATCCACAAAGTGAAATATTATGAGCACTGTTGGTGTAGTGAGCATTTCTTGGTGGAGCTGGACAAGGAGGGAGAAGAGAAGATCGCCTCGTCAAATCCTATGGGGCAAATTCTCACTTTCCATGGAGTATCATGGGTCATAAACTCTAGACTAGGAAGAAACATTTCTAATCATTTTATCCTGTCCTTCTACGAGACTTCTTATCAGGACTTTAAAAGCCAGGAAAGGTGATTAAAATAATTTCTTCATGGGAGAGAATTGAGAGAATGGAGAAATAGTCAGAAGGGTGGTAGAGCTTGGCTACCCCATACCTAAGATCCCTTGTAGTTCTATACCCAATTCCAGAATGTCAACTATCGTTTTCTAAGGTGTTACGGAACCAGATGAGAACCCTTGATAACTCCAGTGTTCCTCAAGTGTCACTGTCATACCCCCACAAAAAGACGTAGTAGTCTTGCAAAAGAGGTTTGTTTGGTTTTTTCACTATCATCTTACATGGTTTATATCTACCAGGTAATGAATGTGATATATTTAACTATAATTCTAAGGCACCACCACCAATACTGCCTGTCTTCCTAGAATGAGCATAATCCTAATGTAAAGAATTAAAAAACAGAGTAAATATGCAAGGCCAGACAGATGGTTCCTAAACTGCTTCTAAGAAAGTGAAAAGAAACAATAACAAAAATATGAACATGGATATAGGCCTACATGTATTCAATTCCCTGAAAATGAGGCAGAAAGTGCAAAAATGTTGATAGGCTTCTTGGACGTACAGAAG